CCCTCTGTGTCACCCATAACATAAATAATTCTTTCCTAAATGGTGGCTGAAGAGTCCCATGGGCTCCTTGTTCTTTCCAGCTGAGGAGTGCATTCACTGCACCTTGGTCAGGTGTTCCTGGAGCAGCTGGGCCTCACAGTCCTGGGGGCTGCATGGTGCTGGGGCCACTCTGGCAGCCTGGACAGCTGAGGGGCTGCTGGCAGAGCAGCAGAGGTGCAGCCCATCTGTCCCCAAGGGCTGCCTGGGGTGGCCCTCCCGCAGGCCCAGGTCAGCAATGCAGCAGGCCCCATGAGTGCAGAGGTGGCTGTCAGATTAGAGGACAGCACAGGGCAGGCAGCACCTGGGGACAAGGGCGAGATGCTCTCAGCACCCAGGGCTGGCTTTGCACCTCCACAGGGACTCTGTGCAGTGGCTGCTCAGGGCCTGCTCAGCTGCCCTGGGGACCTTGTTAGGGGTTAGAGGTTCCTGCAATGCCACCTGGGGTCCTGGGAAACGTGTGTGGCCCTTATAGCTGGCCCTGCTCTCAGCATGCCCTGCCACTCAGGGAGGGCCCAGGGCTCTTCCCTCCTTTGTACAAGTGTGGACTTATGGCCAGCTGTGTCCTGTGTCTGCAGGTGGATGGACAGTTCCTCCCTGACCAGCACACAGCTGGAGAGGGAGGTTCAAGAGAGCAGCCAGCCAGCTGTGTGCTGGTCAGGGAGGAACTGGTGCAGGACAGAGTACTGTGGGTTCCCTGCATGGTTCTGTGCAGTGGAGCGTTTTGTGGGGCCCTGCCTGGTTCTGTGCAGTGGAGCCTGGTGTGGGGCCCAGGCTGGCTCTGCTCTGTCCCCACCACTGCTGGGGCCTGTTTCCCGGAAGTTCCCAAACTGTGCTGAGGGCTGTGGGGCTCAGTGGCTCCATCAGCACAGGTGCCCCCTGTCAGGGGTGAAGGATGATTGACAGCTGCTTGTGTGGCAGGGGCAGAGGCAGCACCTGCACAAGGGGTCCCAACTGAGTGTGGCTTCCGCAGAGGTCCTGCCTGTCACCCATGTGCTCTGTGTGATGGGGGCAGGATGAGCCCTCCCTCCCTCCACAGTGCTCTGTCCTGCACCAGTGGCCATAGACTGACCCAGGCCTATGGGCAGGGAGAAGAGCAGGGGCCTCTGCAGCTCCCTCATCCACTAAGCAGCCTCCAGGGACCTGGCCGTGTAAACTAAAGTGCAAATTTCACATGTGCTAAGTGTGTGGACGTTTTTGGTTCAAGAACACGCAAACACAGAGAAAGCATCCTTTGTAAACATCTAGAAAGTAACTGGATTACAGGTTTACATTTGAAGCACAAGTCCACAGCTTTTCAGATAAAAAGAATAAATTTTTGATGGTTCAGTCTGACAGCGAACTTTAGGGTATATGTCAAGATACAGAGGATGGGTCCCTGAAATTAATGTCTAACCCGCTTGGGCTACTCAGAGGCGAGGGAGAATATGGATACCCTGGTTCTTTTAGTGGGCACTGGGTGCTCCGGTCATGGCCTGTCCACAGCTCTGTGATTCATAGCACCAAGGTGAGCCCAGCCAGTGTGCCTGCTCCCCTGCCATAGGGCTTGTCCCCTTGGTCCTGGCCACAGGCAAGGCTTCTCCTGCAGTCCTGAGCTTCAGGACTTGGAGAGGTTCTTCTGCAGACTCGGATGTTCACCTCACAAGGCAGTATGACTTGTCACAGTGTGCATGACACCAACCACTGCCATGGGAGACCCTCACCTACCACAGGACCATAGTGTTGGCTCTTACTTGCCACAGATGACTAGTTTTATTATGTAGTCACAGCAGCTGTGACTCAGTGTGTCCAGGGGCAGTGGGGGCCTCTGTGGCTGCCCCTACCAAGGTCCAGTGCATGCATAGAGATGGTGTCCATGTGCTTCTCACAGTGACAGGGCCAGAGTCCAAGATCTGTGGGGCATGGCAGCATGACACAGTCCTCAGAAAACACAGAAACCCCAAGGACAGGAAAGGAGCCCTGCAGGAGGGAATCCCTGCAGAGGCCTCCACAAGGTCATCCTCAAAGGACTGAGGCCCTAGGGACACTGCAGTGCCCCCAAGGAGGAGTGCAGAATGCAGCCAAGGACATGGCCAACTCATACTGTGCAGAGTCACTCAGGGGACCTCAGTGTGAGCCAGACACAAACCTCCCTCAGGAGGCACCTGTGGCCAGCAGGGGGCGCTCAGGAGCAAGGAGTTGCTGATTGAGTAGTGGATTTTTTCCAGTTATGGTTTTCATTTTTCTGTAAACGTGACACACTTCCTGAGAAAGGCCTCCACAGTTATACCTCTGGGCCTTCAATAGATGTTTTCAATTTAAAAAATAATGATTAACTGGGATGGATTGAAAAGGGTTGATGGCATAACCTTGAATTCCTTAGTCCTCAAATGAATGTTCAGAGAGAAATACCTTCTAGTCTCATGTCCCTAAATTCTAAATTCATAAAGCTTCCTGAATATACAATATATTTCCTCAAAGAGTAATTTGAAGTCACTAAGGGTGCAATTATTGGCATTACTAACAGGAGTTTAATTGATGGCCCAGAGCATCTGGGCCACTTTGCACAACCACACAGAGACCCACAGTTTCATGTGCAAGCTCCGACTCTCAGGCCCCAGCACCCCAGGAGCTGGCCCAGGAGATCTGGCTGCTGTGGCTGTTGCTGGCTCTATTCTGCAGTGAGCTTCCAGGAGGAACACCTGCTGCCTTTCCCTCAGGCCTGGCCTTCCCTGGAGGACATGTCCACATTCTCTGTCCACAGTCACTACCTGTTCCTGGGTAATTCTTCTCTCATCCAAGACATCAACATGGTCCTGCCCATGACATCTTCCCATCCTCTGTGCCCTGCGTCTGTGTGGACACAGTAGGTGCATTTTGCACGCTCCACATGAGACCACAGGCTTGGCAGACACGGTGCTGGTGATGGACAGCAACAGCCTGGACACACATCGCCCCTCCCTGCACATGAGCCTCTCACACAATCGGTTATTTCAATGGGATCTTTATGTCAATATGAAATGAGCAGATTAAATCCCCTGGAAACTGACCAGGTGGAAGGATTACCAGGACCAGGAATTTGCTGTCATGGTTCACATATGAGGTGGCCCACAAGCTCACGTGTGAGACAAAGAAGAGAGGACTAGATTGCCAGAACTCTAACCTACAGTGGATTAATCCACTAACATGGATTGACTTGCAGCACCTGTAGGTAGGAGTGGTGGGCTGGAATACTTCGATCACTGGGGTGTGTGTGCCTTTGAGGGACACTCTGTGTCCCTGTTAGATGGAGCTCACCTGCTTCCTGGTGGCCATGTCTTGAGCTGGTTTCCTCCTCCACACCCTTCTGCCATGGTGTTCTCCCTCCCTGGCAGGAGCTAAGGACTTGCAATCATGCACTCCAACATCCTAAGTCATGACCCTAAGGAAGCTTTTCCTCTTCTGTATTCTCAGAATTTTGGTTAAGTGCAAAAATGCTGTCAAATACTGATATATTTTAGGAGGTTTTCTTATGGCCACATCATACATACACTCAGTTTCTCTGATTTTCGTGAACACTTTGTGCTGAATGGTGAAAGCAAACTGATGCACTGTCAGGTGAGGTGTTGAAGACCCCACACCTGGCACAGGTGACGTGGGGAAGACTGTCACATCAGGGCTCCAGGATCCCGAGGTCAGGAGGTAGAATCATCTTAGGATGCCTCCTAGTCAGATGCCTGGAAGAACAGCTTTCTAATCAGATGATTTGTTAGGACTTGGAAACTTCACCCAGGGGCTCCACTGGATTTGCAGGTGGTGAAAACATGGAGACCAGCAGGTCTTACCTGAGCCACCCCAGGACCAGGAGGTGGGTGCTGCAGGCTCAGTGTTTGCAGGGAGCTCATGGTCAACACCACAGGGAACACGGAGAGGAGCCCACATGTCTTATTAGTGGGCTGTGCTCACTCAGTTAGGCAGGAGGTCAATTCCTGAACCTCATCAGGAGGTCAGCAACTACACCTGCCCTCTCAGTGACCCCACCTCACTAAAGACAGTGTCCACTGTTCTCTCCAAATGCTGGGCTGTGGGCAAGGCAGGTCTCACTGCAGGGATGCTGCACAGGGAAGGGGACTGGGCCTCCTCCCTCACCCAGCCTGCCCTGCATGCCGTCCTGTCTGCTGTCAGCCTGGCTCTGCTGCTCTGGGGCACTCAGGGGCTCTCAGCCTCAGGCTGCAGCTGAGAGCTGCCTCTGCTCCCAGGACTCTCACCTGGCCCAGCACCTCCATCCTGTCCTCTCCTGGTGGAGACCAGAGGGCAGCACAGGTGAGGGGAAGTGCTCAGGGCAGATTCCCACCCACTGCTGTCCACAGGCATTGGCTGGACAGTCAGGAGGACAAGCAGGGCACAGGGTGGGGAGGGCAGTGGGCACACAGCAGGAAGCCCCTCCCCTCCTGAGACCCTGCTCCCTCCTCTCCTGCTCAGTCTGCAGCCCCCAAATCTCACAGAGATGAAAGAGAAGAACTCGTCCTGAGAACAAAGGGGGCTCTTCTCCTGGATGTGGGGAACCCCATCCTCAGCCCTGGGCTCTGTTCAGTCATCACTGAGGGCTTCTCCTTCAGGGCTGGGAGGTGGACCTGGGCCTCTTGCATGCTGGGCACGTTCCTGCCACTCTGACACCCTCCCAGGTGCAGGGAGGAAGGGCTTGGAGGAGGCAGGGCTGGGCTCAGGAGGGTGGGCTCCACCTCTGACAGCCTTCCAGCTCCCCTGAAACCACCTGCTCTCCTCTCACAGGTAAAGCTCCACCTGGGTTCAAGACAGGGACACATCTCAGGAGCACAGAGGACCTGGGCAGCCTGACCCCAGCCTCTCCAGATATCAGAAGAGCCTCACCCACATGCAAATCCCTCCTCCTGCTCTGGGTTCAAAGGCCCTCTGGGCTGTGGGAGCTCCCAGCTCTCTGCTCACACAGGGCTGAGGTCTCTGGGAAGGCAGGTGTGGTCTAGAATATGAGGCTGCTGGGTCTTGTCCTGTGCCTGGTCACAGGTTCTCAAGGTGAGTGTCCCCAGTGTCAGACCTGGGTCCATGGGGAGGTTGTGACTGCAGGTGACTGACAGCATGTTATTGTCCTTGTCCCCAGGTGTCCTGTGCCAGGTGCAGCTGCAGGAGTCAGGACCTGGCCTGACGAAGCCCTCACAGACCCTGTCCCTCACCTGTGCTGTCTCTGGTTACTCCATCACCAGTAACTACTGCTGGAAGTGGATCCGTCAGTCATCAGGAAAGGGGCTGGAGTGGATAGGCCGCATATGTTATAATGATAACACTTACTACAGCTCTACCCTCAAGAGCCGAGTGTCCATCTCCAGAGACACATCCAAGAACCAGTTCTCCCTGCAGCTGAGCTCCCTGACTACCCAGGGCACAGCCACCTATTACTGTGCCAGAGCCACTTTGCGGGGAGCTCAGTGTGAGCCCAGACACAAACCTCCTGCAGGGTGCCCAGGGCCAGCAGGGGGCGCTCAGCACACAGGAGCTCAGGTCAGCCCAGGAGCGGGTGCAGAAGGAGGTGGGGTCCCTTCACCTCAGTCACATACTCTCTCTCCAGGCAGCTCCTTCTGGGGCACGACCATCCATAGTCTTCTGGAGATGCCCGTGTCTCAGGACACCACAAACTTTTAAGTTCCTCCATCAAGTTTCTCTGAGTTTCCCATGATTAAAAAGGCTAACACAATAAGTTTTCTGATGAGGACTTTGGTTACCATAGTGTCTGCAACCTGGTGCCATTTATGCAAATCTGTGACATTTCATTTCTCCTTCTACATCACATGGATCTCCAGGGCCTCCCTTCCAGCAGCTGACTATTCTATTATTATATTATATTCTCCCCATTATTTTATCATTTTTCATTTTATTTCTATTTGTCCTTTTTTATTTGTAACTTTTGCATTCTTTTTGACAAAATGGTAGAAGCATGAAATATAATTTGTCTCATTTGGGCCCCAATTAGTCCATTTTCCCTCTTCTCACCCTTCCTCCTGCCTCCTCCCCTCAACTCTACTGATCTTTCTGCAATTTAATGATAGATTTTTTTTATTAGTGTTTTCTGGATATACTGATGGTGGTCATCACTTACCTGTACTAATATGTAAATAAGAAAGACTGCTAAGATTCATTCCACTGTTCTTCCCTTATGCTCTCCCTCCTTCCTTTCCCAAAATGAAAAACAAAAAGTGCTGTAGACGTGGTTCTGGACTCTGGATCAGTCCCCAGTAAAAGTCAAACAAGAGGAGGACTCACGCTCTTTGGTTTTATGTCAATAAACTAGATTCTCAGAGTAGAGCAAGTGCTTCCTACAGAGGTACATTTGGGACCTCACTGGGTGGTGATATCTTGCTGTTCAATCTACTACCCATTTTCCTTCCTGTGACATAAATGTGACTCTTCTCCATTGTCTCAGCTCTCCATCACACCCACAATTATCATCTGTTATTCCCTGATTATTTCTGCTACTTGAGATTGAATCCAGAAGCACTTTACAATGAGCTGCATCCCGAGGTCCCTCACAAGGGACTTTGCTTTTGAAACATGGTCTTGCTAAGAAGCCCAGCTGGTCTCAAACCTGCAATCCTCCTGCCTCAAATCCTGAGGAACTGTGATCAGAGGGGTGCCTGGTCATGCCTGGAAAACAATTTTATTATTAAAAACTACAATGTTTTTAACCTATAATCAAAACAATGATATCCCATCTGAAAACTGAGGATTTCACCCAATGCTTTAAGCCTTGTCTCCTTTGCCTCATTGAAGCCTCGTTACTTGCTCTGAGGGCCTTGCTCAACTCCTTCCTCTGCCTTGGTGGATGCTGGCATCACTTTCCATAAACAGGACACCTGCCATTTGCACAGACTCTGTATTTTACTGCTTAAGCATGTTTTGTGGTTATTAAATTTACACTTAGTTATGTGAGTTAGATTTTGGGCATCCACATATGAATATGTTTTGAAGGACATGAATATGCAGTGATGTGTTCTGTGTCCTTGTCTTTCACACCTGATGGTGTTTGATGATCAACTAAGAATGTCAGCATCTCTCTCCATCAGACAACAGCTGGCCATTCCAGCTGTATTTTCACACTTACACTGAAACCCAGCTCTAGTGAGGCAGAGGACAGCACCCTGACACAGGGGTGCCAGGCACCATGATGGGTCCCAGGCTGTGCACACCCAGCTGTCCATCACCTGTCCCTCCTGGGTGTGGGGAGCCCACCAGCTGCTCTGCCCCAGTCACTGTGAAGCACAGCCTGGCTGTGGGCCATGGGTGCCCTGTGAGCTGCAGAGCCCCAGGACAGGGCCCTCTCTGCACGTGGCCCTCACCACCCACCCTCACCCTCGCACTCCCTGCATCTTCCCATCTCCAGGGGCCACTGTCCTCTCTCTTTCCAGGACCTGCTGCAGTAGCTTCCCCTCATGAGTGATGGTGTGGTTATGGTCTCCCTCTGCCTGACCCATTTCAGCTAGGTCCATGTGCTCCAGGGCCATGCCCAGGGCCACCAGGGCAGGATGCCATTCTTGTTGGCAAATCACATTCTTCCTCTGTGGATAGTATATTAACCACATCTCCATTAAGAGACACACGGTGATCATGAAAAGTGCTTCAACACTCATGGGACTGGAGTTAAGGACAGGCTTCTTGGACACATGTCCCAACTGACGTGCATATTGCTTAGAAGTCCTGTCCCTAAGCCCTAGGATGTCCCATCCAATGTCTCTGCTGACCTCAGGTGATACTGCACAGGGTGGGGTCTCCTGCCTGCTACCCTTCAAACTGTTCCTCTAGCTGGTGGACCTACAATGTATAAGGGGACTCTGTAGGGGCCACACCTCTGACAAGCGCTGCCTGAGCCCAAAGCTTACCCAGAGAATCCTCTGTAATGCACCCTTGTGGGAGGCCATCCTCGAACTTGATTTGCGTTACCTCCCTGGCTGGGTGAGAGGCGCTTAGACACAGCTGTGTCAGAGCTTTCCCCACCCTTTTCCAGGTCCCAGGGCTTGTCCATGCAGAGGTGGGTCTGGCCACTTCCCCGAAGAGCCAATCATCACCCCTGACCTTGGGATGCTGCTCCCCCCTTAACCTTCAGTGGATGGGATTTTCCCTGGAATTTTTTGTTCCCCAATAAAAGTCCACTCCTTGGCGTATTCTCTCTCTCTCTTGATAGTCTCTTCTGTAAACCTTGCCAGGGCATTAGGTGGCTGGAGGTGGGAGCTAGGAAGAGCCATCCTGGAGCTGGTGTTAAAGGTAATGAGAGTCTTGTCCCTTTAATTTAAAATGCCCTAGAATTTACTCATGAATTGAACATTCTTTAATGAAGCCAGCACTGGTCGCGTGGCAGACATCCTCTAGAGGAAGAGACACCCCCACACTCTGGCACCCTGTGTGCCTGCAGAGTTAACACCATGGGTGCTGCCAGGTTGGCTCCTTGGTGACTATTCCAGCTCCCAGATCAGAGTTAGCACAGACCAACCCTTTACCCAGTCCCAGGGCTGTGTCCACACCTTTAGATGCTCACTATGACCACCTCAGGCCCCAGCACCAGTGTGGCTGAGTCCAGTCTGTGCTGCTCTGAGCAGCTCCTGAGGCTGACGGTGCACAAGGAGAGAGCTGTGCTGCAGCAGGTTCTGGAGACCAGGGTGCAAACACCCAGTTGCTGCTCCTGACCAGGTCTCCTGAGGCTGCAGCACCACATGGCAGGAGGCAGGAGGCAGAGAGAGGAGATGGGGCTGGACCTCTGAGTGGTGCTGGGGTCCCACTGCGGCTCAGGGTGCCAGGAAGGCTCTATCAGCCCTGGGGGAACCCAGGTGACCAGGACCAGGGTGTCAGCTGTCCTCTACATTCTGGGACCAGGTGGACATGTGAAGAGTGACAGGGCACCAGTACTGAGGGCATGTGGCTGTGCCTCCAGGAGGATTCCAAGACACTTGTTCCAGACAGAGGCCCTTCTTCCCCCAGTTCTGACTGCACACAGGAGGAAGAAGGCCTGGTTCACACCTGCCTGAACTTTATGAAATCCTGACACCCTGACTTACTTCCTGCCTGTTCAGGGGGATCCCGTCCTCTTCCCATGACTTCTTCCCACTTCCAGGCCACCCAGTGTCCTTCCTGGGATGCAGCAGCTCACAGTGCACACTTCTCCCTGGAGCCCACTTAGTGTCACATCTTACCCTCCGGGGGACTTTGACAGTGTCTGGAGGCAGCTGTTTTTCTCACATGTTAAGGAGGAATTGTCCTGGAATCCAGCTTTTAGAGACCAACGAGGCTGCCAAACCTCCAGCCATCACAGGACAGTACTGACAGCAAGCAATTATCTGACCCAAATATTCATGGAGTGAGCTGAGGAACAGTGACAGAAATCCTGAACCTTTTTAAAATGAAGATTAACATGTATGCTCAGAGTGGACTTTGGTGTATTGAGCTGTCTCGCCTCCTGATGAGGCTCTGTGACACCCACACCCCACACGCAGGGCTCCAAGGGACAGACACACCCACCCCTAATGCAGCACTATGTGGTCTGTGGACAGGGGTGACATGAGCAGGGTTTTGGAGAGACAGGGGCTCCTTTCTCAAACCTAATGGACTGGTCAGCACTGCAAGGACGGTGAGAGCTGCAGGTCAGGACCCTGAGGACACTCTGCCCAGAACCACACTGACCCCATCTTGCTGTGAGGTGACCCAAAGGCTGAGAAGCCCCAGGACACCTGGCTGCTGGGGAGAGGCAGCGTGGAGCTTGCCTGGGTTTCCAGCCCCTGTGGCTGCATTGCAGGGTCACAGACAGGGACACCTGGGCTTTGTCCCTGCTCACATCAGTGCCCACCCTGTCCTGAGGGTCTGCTCCAGTCTGGGTGAGGATGAGCAGTGGCAATGTTTACATCCCAGATGGTCCTAAGAACACAGCAGCTGTGGGAAGACATGAAACCACCAGTCCCCTTTGATTTCAGCACGGACACCATCAGTCAGCACACTGGCGTTTTACTTTTCATTTTAATACACTTTTAGCTGTAGGTGGGCACAATGCCTTATTTTACTGGTTTGTTTCCCGGGTGCTGAGGACCAGACCAGGCCTCCCACAAGGGCTCTGCACTGGGCCTCAACCCAGCCCCACACACTCCTACTGCTGTTGTGATACATTGGTTTTTCTTGACACTCCCTGGGTCTCTTCCTGAGGACTCTCCAGTGCCAATGGTCACACAGGACAGTGGGGCTCCTCTGACATGGTCACAGCAGGTGGGACATGGTGGCTGCACTCTTTCCCCAGGGCTTCCTCCTTCCTCCACCCTCCCCTCCCCCGCCCCTCCCTCTTCTCTCCTAGTTTTCTGGTATTTATTTATTTATCTTCTCTATTTAGTGCCACTCAGCTTCTGAGTTGGTCCACACACAGCTGGATCCCCTTGTCTGACCACCTGTCCTGGAGGGTGGGGAACTGCCTTTCTCCTTCACAGTGGCTCTGCTGCACCAGGGTGAGCCAGCAGAGGGCCGTACCTGGGGCTCAGGAGAGGACAGGCCCCAGGTGGATGCCCACCTGCAGGAGGACCCTCCTCAGGCAGCACAATGAGCTCTGCCCAGGAACGGGCTGGGCACCAGGAGCATGGCTCATGCTGCTCAGGAAAGGACCCCACAGGTACCATGGAGATGTGCAGAGATAAGGCAAGGACTGGGCACTGCGGCTGGTCAGACGTTCCCTTACTCCAAAGAGCAGGGTCTTCTCCTAAGCCCACTGCTGAGAGGGACCCTCGGTTTTGTTGGCAGCATTTGGACTGCTCAGCTGTGAACCCCATCTTCCCTGGGGCAGGAGTTTCCCCACATTCCCTCCACCCCCCCTCCTGAGGATGATGGAGAATGGGCACTGCTCCTGGGACCAGAGCAGGGCTGGCCCCTGGATCTGCAGACACATTTCCAAGTGAGACGTGTGGGGACAATAGGGCTGGAATATGACAGGCAGGTGGCTGTCACTGCTGAGGGTCCAGACAGCAGCATCCTGGGCCTGGGCTGCTCTACATTGCCACCCCCGTCCAGCACAGGCAGCTGAACTGAAGTCACTGTGTGAATTTGGGGTGACACAAAGTACCACACAGACACAGAATACCTTTTATAAGCTTCATGATGGCTTTCTCCATCTCCCAGCCTCAGGCTCCCCAAAGGGGGGACAAGAGAAGGTCAGAGAGGCTGACAGTAGAGAGGGGGCATGTTCAGAAGTGGGCTTTTATTTTGGGTGATGCTGTTCCTTAGAATTTTCTATCTTAAAAAAGCAGAAGGGGTAGGATTGTAGGATTACAAAGGAACAGGTGAGTGTGACACAACCCCAGCAGGTGACACCTACTCCTGGAGCCACTCCCTGGTATCCCAGCTGGGGGAGCACCCAAGTTACTGTACCTGGCACTACACTGCCTGACTGAATGCAATAACTGTTCAGAACCTGGAGCATCAGGACTTAAGGAGGTTCATTGAGGGTGGCTTCCCTCACTAATGGCTCTCCTCACCTGGGAACTACGCTGAGCTGATCCCTTGGAATCCCCAGAAAACTCTGCAGATGAATAGGGAGCTGGACATAGAGAGGAAGTCACATGTCAGGTGCACAGCTCCTCTGGCGAGAGCCACTTAGACAGTCTGTCTCCTCCTCTTCCCAAATGGTCTCCATCGCATGTTGCATCCAGTCTCCCTGCTGGTGCTGAAGTGTCCTCAATTACAGGACATTTAGAAGATGAGGAAGGCTGTACCTATGTCACACAACCAACATGACAGTGTCACAAGTTCTCCAGGAACAGAAGGACCATGTCACAGTAGCAAACAGTGGGAGACAAAGCAGTGTATTGGACTCAGAACTGAGCACTCAGCACCCAAAGCCTGAGTGGATGTGGTGAGTGAGACTGGGCACCAGGAAGGGAGCAGGGTCCTGAGGAAGGGGCTGGGCTCAGGAGGGTGGGATCCTCCTCTGACAGCCTTCCAGCTCCCCTGAAACCACCTGCTCTCCTCTCACAGGTAAAGCTCCACCTGGGTTCAAGACAGGGACACATCTCAGGAACACAGAGGACCTGGGCAGCCTGACCTCAGCCTCTCCAGATATCAGAAGAGCCTCACCCACATGCAAATCCCTCCTCCTGCTCTGGGTTCAAAGGCCCTCTGGGCTGTGGGAGCTCCCAGCTCTCTGCTCACACAGGGCTGAGGTCTCTGGGAAGGCAGGTGTGGTCTAGAAGATGAGGCTGCTGGGTCTTGTCCTGTGCCTGGTCACAGCTCCCCAAGGTGAGTGTCCCCAGTGTCAGACTTGGGTTCATGGGGAGATTGTGACTGCAGGTGACTAATAGAGTGTGATGGTCCTTGTCCCCAGGTGTCCTATGCCAAGTGCAGCTACAGGAGTCAGGACCTGGCCTGGTGAAGCCCTCACAGACCTTATCCCTCACCTGTGCTGTCTCTGGATTCTCCATCTCGACTGGTAGTTATGGTTGGCACTGGATCCGTCAGCCCCCAGGGAAGGGGCTGGAGTGGATAGGGGAGATATGTTATAGTGGTAACACTAACTACAGCCCTTCACTCAAGAGCCGAGTGTCCATCTCCAGAGACACGTCCAAGAACCAGTTCTCCCTGCAGCTGAGCTCCCTGACCACTGAGGACACAGCCACCTATTACTGTGCCAGAGACACAGTGAGGGGACCTCAGTGTGAGCCCAGACACAAACCTCCTGCAGGGTGCCCAGGGCCAGCAGGGGGCGCTCAGCACACAGGAGCTCAGGTCACACCTGAGCAGGTGCAGAGGGAGGAGAGAGCTGTCACCTGAGGCCCTGAGGTTCCTGCCCAGCCAGCACTTCCCTGACTCCACCTTGCCTGCAGATTCTCGAGGTCCCTCCTCTGCCAGACCCTCTGAAGCTTCCCCTTCTCTGGGTCAGGGTTGTCTGAATTTCTCACTCTGAGCACAGATTTCTCATCCATATTTCCTTGTGAAGCTAATTATTTTACAATGACATTTCCCACATAGTGACCTTTAAGTGAACTTTATAAACTTATCTTTCTAGTACTGTGGATTGAACACAAGGTGCACTAACTCTGACCTCCTTCCCATCCCTGTTTGTATCTTAGTTTGAGTCATGTTCTGTCGCCACCCCTTGCCCGCAAGGAAGACACAACTCGGGAATCTTCTTTCAGCAGTTTATTCAGGCCCTTGATATTTCTTCTTCTCACTCTCGGATGCCCCTCCCAGCCTTAATAAAGCATCTCAAGCCCCAATGCGAAGCTGCCACTTGGAGCTTTCTCATAGGGTGGTGAAAAACCATGCGCCAACTCTCCCAAATAAGGAGTTGTTTGTCACAGACCACAGCGGAGCCAGCGCCATCTTGTAATGGCGACCATAGTCTGCAGAAATGGCAGAAGCGGCTCACCACAGTTCCCCCTTTTCTGTTTTCTTAAAACAATACAGGCGAGAGTAGAGGTCCTATCCCACTGTGCAGAAGTGGCTGCATAGTATGGCTCAGTCCTAAGGAGGGCCCTTCCCCAGATCTGAGGCCATATCAGCCGACGCCTTTTTTCGTGGAGCGGGGCGTGGACACGTCTAACCCGCATGCAATAGGACATGCTCTCCTTGAGGTCCACGTCAAGGATCACTCAAGTGCAGTGCCTTGCCTCGCATCCTGTATCGTGACGATGGTGGACGAAGGGGGATAGCTGAGGCTGAACTGTGGCTGTTTATAACGACAAACAAGTTGACAGCACCCTGAAAGAAAGGCACGGACTTTAAGGCGATAGAAAAGCACTAGTGTGGAAACCCATCTGCGTGCAATGGCAGTAAGACTGGCAGAGTGCAAGGGCTTTCCAACACTAAGAGAATAACAAGGAAAGTCATGTCGATCCCAGTGCAATGTTATAATAACTTGGGGTGTAACGACCATGTTAAAGGTTTACTGTTTAAGATGCGCAAGCCAGACCTGAGGTGAGTTGCCATTTTCTAAAGCTGCAAGAGCTTGTATGATCATAGCCTTATCATGAGCACTGCAGGCCTTAAGGCGACAGAGAAACCACAAACAGAGGAACACACCGAAGCAACACATTGCACCAAAAATGCCTACCCCCACCCACTCTTTGAAGAAGGAAAAAGCAGAAGATATCCAATCGGTGAATTGACCCAAAGTCACGGGATCAACACGGGTACTGTTCAAGACAGCTATCTGGGTTAGTTGAGACTGGATCATGTTTTCTGCTTCCATGGACCAGGTTCCGGATGGATACTCCCCGATGATGTGGGAGGCATTTCTGGAATCATAAAATCTGACAGAGGTTATACATAAATGTGCACGTTGATCAATACAACCCAAATGTTCTAGGTCAGACAATTCCTCAACTTGAGCTTGAAGCAGATCTATCCTTTGATTAGCAGCCAGAATCCCAGATAAAATGTGTTAATTAATTCTACTTTGAGATTCAAGTATGGTGGATGTTTGTTGAATAACCTGATTAATAGTGGCAGCAGTTTGTACCTGGCTGGCCATGGCTACTCCAGCTATAACTGCTGTAGCAGCAGATACCGCCACAGCTGTCACTATGGCTGCCATAATTCCAAAATCTCTACAGGCTCTAATCAGTTCAACAATAGGAAATGACTCTGGATCTGCAGTAACCGGGATCGGGACAAAAGTTGGAATTTTCATAACCATTGCCATAGGCCAGGATCCATTCCAACACTCAGACAAATAACAGGTAATATTAGAACAATTAAGCATCCCCTGTAATGTAACATTAGCCAAAAGAAACAGGAACGGAGATTGGAGACAGACTGCTGTGGAGGGTAATGTAGCATTAGATAATTGTGAATTATTTGCAGAAATTTTAAGCCTCCTACCTCGCTCCGAGTCTTGGGTACTGCCAGAAACATTAAACAGCCAACTTTGGACTCCTAATATTTCCCTGGGGAAACACAAGCGCGGACTAGACTAGCCCAATCTGAGGGAGTCATGCAAAATCTAGTAAGTCCCTCCACCTGAGTGAGAGTGAAAGCGGCATCTATGCCATAAGTGCGGACAGATTCTGCCAAGGTTTCAATTATCTTAAAGTCTAAAGGCTCATGATATCTTCCCCTGTTATTGTCCTGAAATACAGGGTATGCAAGTTCCATATCTGTATTAACTGTCCTCCAAACTTGTGCATGAAAAGATCTCCCGGAACCTTGGCTCCCCCCCACATACGGAGGTGGGGCAATCGGCACCATATCTTCTTCTAGATATTCTACCTCTTCCTCCTCAGAGTTTTGTTGACCAATGTTAACTCCCTTCCCCTTCTTACAGTAGGCCTGCGTGCCCTGTGTCTCCTTTTTCTTCTGTTTCATTTTTATCTTATGTAGTTGTTGTAACAATATATCAAGGTCCTCAGAACTCTCTGAGTCGCTTGTGTTCTCAGGCGTTTTTAATTCGGTCAAGTCTGGGTAGAGCCTTCTCCTATTTTTATCTTCAGGCTCTTTTGCCTTCTCACTACTGTTACTTTTAATACTCTCCGCCACTTCACTACATGATCCTTCAGATTTTTCCTCATGCAGTTGCTCAAGAATAGCTTGACCCTCACTCACAGCTTCCTGGCATTTACCATCTGTTATACATCCTCTAACTAACTTCCAAAGTGGTATAACGCCACCCTCTAAGGTGCCTTGCTCATGAGCGAAATCTAGATCTTTCCCTAATTTGTCCCAGCTAGGAATCCTAAGACTCCCTGAAAAAGCAAACCAAGGAGCCGCTATATCAGCTTCTCTCAAAAACATCTGCAAAGTGCTCTGCTTTATCTTAAGTCCTTTTGAATGTAACAACCCATCTAGGGCCAACAAAATTGGGCTTGAAGAAGCAACGCCCATAATGTTTTTAGAGCTATAAAGAAAGTGAAAGTACAAAAGTCCCCGCTCTCTTCCTTTTACAGGGGAGCGTCCGTGTCGTCACAACAACAAAAGAAGCACAAAAAACAAAAGCGAAATGACACAACAAAAGAAACACAGAAAACAAAAGTGAAAGTACACAGTGTAGCTGCAATAAAATGTAAGGCTCTCTCTTTCATTACAGAGGAGCTACCCCGCTTTGGTGGCGGATCCCACTTACCTGGGACTAACCCCGCTTTGGTCGCGGATCCCACTTACCTGGGACTAACCCCGCTTTGGTCGCGGATCCCACTTACCTGGGACTAACGGGTGCACCACCCCTGACTGCTGAAAGTTCTGGTTCCCGGGTCTCGGCACCACTTGTCGCGACCCCTTGCCCGCAAGGAAGACGCAACTCGGGAATCTTCTTTCAGCAGTTTATTCAGGCCCTTGATATTTCTTCTTCTCACTCTCGGATGCCCCTCCCAGCCTTAATAAAGCATCTCAAGCCCCAATGCAAAGCTGCCACTTGGAGCTTTCTCATAGGGTGGTGAAAAACCATGCACCAACTCTCCCAAATAAGGAGTTGTTTGTCACAGACCACAGCGGAGCCAGCGCCATCTTGTAATGGTGACCATAGTCTGCAGAAACGGCAGAAGCGGCTCACCACAATGTTCCCCCAAGATGCCCAGACTGCCCTTGAAATAGTGGTCCTCCTGCCTTGGCCTCCTGAGCACCTGGGTTGCAGGTGAGCTCCACCATGTCCAGGTCAGTTTTCTGAACCTCTGCTGCCATGTTTATCCTCTCATGCTCAGGTGGGTCCCCTATATCCTTCCCATGACTCCTTCCCATTCCCAGTCCACTCTCTGTCTTCCTGTGATAGATCAGGTCATCATATACATGCCATTCTGAAACCCAAATAGTGGGAGAAACTTTCACCATGGGGACCTTGGCAATGTTAGGAACAGGGTTGTTCAAGTAAAACAGTTGTTAGAGGTCATTGAGGCTGCCACACCTCCAGCCATCAGAGCACAGCATGGCAGCTAGGGATTCTCTGTCCCAAGTGCCCATGGACTGCGCTGAGGAACACTGACAGAAAGCCTTAAACCTTGTTAAACCCACAGAAATGTGTATGGTCACAGTGAACTTTGGTGGATGTGAGCCGTCTCTCTCAGGATGAGGCTCTGTGACGCCCACACCCACACCCAGGCCCCAAAGGCAGAGGTGCCCACCCCTCATGCAGCTTTGTGTGGCCTGGGGACAGGGGTGACCTGAGCAAGGTGCTGAAGGAAAAGGGGCTCCCTTGGCAAAGACCCAGGAGCGAGGGTGGTCAGCTCAGCATGGACTGTGGAAACTGCAGGTCAGCTCTGCCACTGGCCTCAGGACCCTGAAGGCATGCTGTGCCCAGGTCCACTCTAACCTCATCTTGCTGAGAGGTGACCCTGAGCCTGAGAAGCCCCAGGACACCTGGCTACTGGGGGAGGCAGCTTGGTGCCTGCCTGTGTTTCCAGCCACTGAGGCTGGACTGCAGGTCACAGACAGGGATGCCCTGGGCTCTGTCCCTGCTCAGGTCAGCGCCCACCCTGTCCTGAGAGTGCATCTTCAGTCTGGGCAAGGATGAGCAGTGGCCATTTTTATATCCCAAGTAATTCTAAGTTAAACCAGATTTATTCCTGAAAATGAAAACATTTGTATATTTTCAGTATATGTTTTTAGAGCTATAGTCATGATTTTGTATTATACATCTGTACATTGCCATGTTACAGTGTTGTGTTTTATAACCACTTGTGCTCCTTATATTTCTGTCAATAAAACTTCCAACATCTTCTTTATTTCAGTATTTAATTTGTGAGTATAATCATGCAAAATGTGTGGTTCATTTTGATGTATTCATGGATACATTAGCCAATTTTACAGCAGAGACGTTGCTTCCTGCCTATAATTCCTACCTGGTATCATCTCTTTGAGTTATTACCTATTTTTCTTCATATTAAACATAAAAACAATGATGTTCATTTGTTGTATGACTCTGTGGCCCGAGAAATACTAGAATGATAATTTAGCATTATACATTTTTTTACCTTAGTGAACAATATTAGATATTGCATCTAAACATAGACAGAATTGTCCCAATGTCTGTTTTCCCCTGTGGTCCAGACTGTTTCCTTTGCCTCAGTGAAACCCCAGGTCTTGCACTGGGGGCCTTGATCAGCTCCCTCCTGAGGCCTGGGGGGTGCTCGGGTCACTTTCCTTTAATATAAAGCCCCTCCCTTGTACAGACTCTGTCTCTGATTCCTTAAGATCACTTTTCTGATTATGACATTTGTACATAGTTAAGAAAAAAAAACATTTAGGAATTGACAGTTGAATATATTTTGAAAAACCTGAATATGCATTGATATGTTGTATGCTGTGGTCTTTCTCATGTGAGGGTGTTACAACATCCACATCACTAAGAATGTCAGCATCTCTTTCCAAAAGACAACAGCTGGCCATTCCAGCTGTATCTTCACACACTGAAACCTAGACCTAGTTAGGCAGAGGACAGCACCCTGACACAGGGGTGCCAGGTGCCATGATGGGTGGGTCCCAGACTATGCACACCCAACTGTCCATCACCTGTCTCTCCTGGGTGTGGGGAGCCACCAGCTGCTCTGCCCCAGTCACTGTGAAGCACAGCCTGGCTGTGGGCCACAGGTGCCCTGTGAGCTGCAAACCCTCAGGACAAGGCCCTCTCTGCACATGGCCCTCACCACCCACCCTCACCCTCACCCTCCCTGCACCTTCCCATCTCCAGGGGCCACTGTCCTCTCTCTTTCCAGGACCTGATGCAGTAGCTTCCCCACATGAGGGATGGTGTGGTGATGGTCTCCCTCTGCCTGACCCATTTCAGCTAGGTCCATGTGCTCCAGGGCCATGCCCAGGGCCAGGAGGGCAGAATGTGATTCTTGTTGGCTGAATGACATGTATCCTCTGTGGATAGTATATTTTCCCCTTATTAATTAAGGGACAACACGGTGATCAGGGAAAGTGCTTTAACACTCATGGAGTTAAGGAGTTAAGCACAGGCCTCTTGGACTCCACATCCCATCTCCTTTGAAACCTGGGCAGAGGTCCTTCCCACCCCCACCCTCCAAACCCTCAGGTTGTTTCAACCCATGTCTCTGCTGTCTCTGACCAGGCTGCATATGGTGGACTCTCCTGCCCACTGCTATGCAAGCTGGTCCTGCAGCTCGTAGACATACAGTGCAGGGGTCTTAGGAGGACTTGCTTCCAGGATCCTCTAGTCGTGGGAAAACTCTGTGTATGGGTCACATCTGGGACAAAGCTCTGCCTGAGAAAACTTCAGTCCAGGACATTCTATGAAATGCAGGTGGACAAAGACCCACCTCTACACTCTGGCACCCTGTAGGACTGCAGAGTTGTCCCATGGTGCTCCAGGTTTTCTGCTTGGTGACTTTTCTAGAAACAAATCAGAGTTGGCACAGACATACCCTTTACCCAGTCCCAGGGCTGTGTCCACACCTTTAGATGCTCACTATGACCACCTCAGGCCCCAGCACCAGTGTGGCTGAGTCCAGTCTGTGCTGCTCTGACCAGCTCATGAGGCTGAGGGTTCACAAGGAGAGAGCTGTGCTGCAGCAGGTTCTGGAGACCAGGGTGCAAACACCCAGTAGCTGCTCCTGACCAGGGCTCCTGAGGCTGCAGTACCACATGGCAGGAGGCAGGAGGCCAAGAGAGGAGATGGGGCTGGACCCCTGAGTGGTTCTGGGGTCCCACTGGGGCTCAGGGTGCCAGAAAGGCTCTACCAGCCCTGGGGGAACCCAGGTGGCCAGGACCAGGGTGTCAGCTGTCCTCTCCATTCTCTCCACCCTCATGGACATGCTGAGAGTGACAGGACAGCTACATTGGTGGCAGGTGGCTGTTTTTCCTGAAAGACACCAAGGCAGTTCTTCCAGAGAGAGACCCTGCTTCCCACAAGCCTACAGTGCCCAGGGGAGAAATGGAGGATGAGACCACAGAAGATAGATGGATGGATGGATAGATAGATAGATAGACAGATAGATAGATAGATAGATAGATAGAGAACGGTTAATAGATCTTATATAGATGGGTAGGAGATGGTAGTTATTTGGTGGATGATAGATACCCAGATAGAACCTGAGAGTGAAAGAGGATAAATTAAAACTGTGCCTTGACACAGCACCAAGTCCATGGGGATGTTCGCTGGGACTTCTCCCAGGCCCTTAAAACAGGGGGGCTCCTCATATCTGGCCCCCTATAGAGTCAGCCCATGACAACTGAAAGTGAGGACAGAGCCTGGGTTTCTCTCTGCCCACACTAGTGCCCTGTGCCCACCACAGATGGCAGCAGCATGTGGACCTGAGGGCTCTGTGCCAACTGGATGCTCCTGAGCTTCGGAGGCCCTCACAGGGAGGAACAGCCTTCCCCCTGCAGGGAGCCTCTGAGGCCCTCAGCTGGATGCCTCCCTGGATAGCAGGTGGCAGAAGAGGGGAAAAGACACACAGCACATTTCCAGTTCAGGATGGTTCTGAGGACCTCACACCAGTCACTCTTGCCACACATGAACTCTAGGATACAGAACCAGCACTCAGACTTCTGTGTGACTTTACATTTGCACCAGGGAGTTATCACTAATACCTCCATTATATGATCTTGTTGTTATTACTAAATAAATTAAAAGACAATAAAATCAAAATAAAAAAATCAATCTACCTTCCTGAAGGTTCCTCTGTCCACCATGCTGCCCGTAACACTCCCGTCTGCCCTCAGTGCTCCTCTACCTGGGCCTCCACCCAGAGCTGCTATAGCGCAGGAGGACATGCAAATAGGGCCTCCCTCTGCTCATGAAAACCAGCCCACCTGACCCTGCAGCTCTGCACAGGAGCCCAGCCCTGGACTCCCAGCTCAGCCCACTCAGTGACCAGGACTGAACACAGCTGCTCACCATGGAGAGTGTGCTCAGCTGGGTTTTCCTGGTGGCTGTTTTCAAAGGTAATGAATGGAGAACCAGAGATCCTGAGTGTGTGAGTGGACAGGAGTGAGAGGAAGAGTGGATGAGTGACAGTGTCCTGACCAGGCTGCCTCTGTGTTTGCAGGTGTCCAGTGTGAGGTGCAGCTGGTGGAGTCCGGGGGAGGCCTGGTGCAACCTGGGGGTTCCCTGCGACTCTCCTGTGCAGCCTCTGGATTCACCTTCAGTGATTACTGGATGAACTGGGTCCACCAGGCTCCGGGGAAGGGGCTGGAGTGGGTTGGCCAAATTAACCAAAATGGTGGTAGCACCTACTACCCAGACTCTGTGAAGGGCTGATTCACCATTTCCAGAGACAACTCCAAGAATTCGCTGTACCTGCAAATGAGCAGTCTGAGAGTCGAAGACACTGCCATCTATTACTGTGCTAGAGACACAGGGAGGGGACCTCAGTGTGAGCCCAGACAGAAACTTCCTGCCAGGCGCCCAGGGCCAGCAGGGGGCGCTCAGCAGAAAGGGACCTCAGGTCAGCCAGGAGCAGATGCAGAGGGGGGTTGAGGGCTGGTTTCTATATTCTCGGAACCTCTCATTATCCAGCTTCCCAGGGAGCTTTATGTACATATTCACTGTAGTAGTCTGTGATGTCACTGAATGAAACAATGTGGTTTTTAATTTGCATTTCCATGTTTATTAGTGGATCCTAATTGTAAATAATATTGCACTTCAATTAGACATTACTAATGGTCATGGAATACGGTTTCCTTCCCTGCAGCACCCTGCCATTTCCCTTTCCCTCCCTTCTCTTCATTCTTCCTCCTTACCCATTGCCTCTACATTTCCCCACAGATGTTTTTATAACATTGTTTACGTTAGTGCTTCTTAGAGGACACAGGTGGAATATCCCCTGTGGTGTCCTCACACAGGGGCACAGGAGAGTTTGGTCAATTTCCTTCCCCTTCTCCTCCCATTTCAATTCCTCCTTCCTCATCCTTGACCCCCTTCCTTTCCTCCCTCCTCCCTCTCCTGTTTCCATGAGATTCCTCCCAGCCCTTCTTCTGTTTTTGGTTTGGAATTTGCATTTGGGAGAGAACACTTGAAATGTCCCCCTCTGAATCTGGATTATTAAACTTACCTTGATTCTCCAGTTCCATCGATTGACCAGCAAAGGCTGCATCTGCACTCTTCCTTCTGGCTGAGGGGGACACTGTTCGGTCTACCCACCCCTGTTCCTCTATCCGCCATCTGTTGGTGGCATCTGGGAACATTCCGTATTAAAGCTGCTGTGAGAAGCCCTGGTGGAAACACTCATGTGGCTCTACAGCTGAGGTGTGTGACTTCTGTTCTTTGGGATAAATCTGAGGAGGGGAGAGCTGGGTTATATCATGGCTCCATTCCTGGTCTCACATGAAGTGTCCATTCTGTTTCCTACAATGGCAGCACTAATTTGAAGTCCCACCAACAGTACATCTGTTCATCTCTTTCCCACATTTGCCAACATTTGTTATTATTTGTGTTCTTGATGATTGCCTTCTAATTAGTGTGAGATAAATTCTCAGTGTAGCTTCAATTTGCGTATCTCAAAGGCCAGAATTGTTAAGTATGTTTTCCTGTATTTGTTGGCCACTTGTGTTTCTTCCCTTGAGAAGTCAGTTGTGTTCTTTCCCATTTACTCATTGGGTTATTGGGTCTGGTCATTAAGTGTTTGGGGATCTTTACATACACAGCATGTCAGTGCCCTACTTCAGAGCAGGTGACCACAGTCTCCCATTCCCAAGCTTGCTCCTCACACTCTTGCTGTTCCTTTGCTGTGCTGAAGCTTTTCATGTGATATTGTCCAACTTACCGATTCTTAGTTTTTATTTCTTGCACTTTAGTAACCTGGTTGAGGAAGTGGGAGCCTGTGTCAGTACAGAGGAGGGTTGGTGCAATATTGGATTCTTAACACTTGCAGAGTGTCTAGTCTAATTCTTCAATTTCTGATCAACATTGAGGTGACTTTTTCTAAGGTGAAGGACAGTGACCTATTATATTCTTTTACATGATTATATTGAGTTTTTCCAACTCTATGTTTTGAAAAGGCTGTCATTTCTTCAACATGATTTTGGAAGCTTTGTCCAGTGCCAGATGACTGCACTTAGGTTGGATTGTCCTGTACCTTCTACTCTATCCCATGGGTCTTCTGCTTTGGTACCAGTGCCATGCTGGTTTTGTTACTGCAGCTCTGTCACATAATTTGAGGTCAGATATTGTCATCTCCAGGTTTGCTCTCTCTGCTTAGGATTGCTTTGGCTATTGTGTGTTTGTAATTTCTCCACACAAATATAAAGACATTTTTTTTCTGATTCCTTTCTGAACGTTTTTGGTATTTGTTGGAGATCTCATTGACTCTGGTGACATTTGGGTTGGTTTGGTCTATGATCATATTCATTCTGACTGTACAAGAGCATGGTGGGTCTTTGCTTATCTAAGGTCTTCAGTTTCTCCCTGTGATGTTCTTTATTTCCAATGTCAAAATCTTTCATGTTCTTAGCTGATTTTTTCAAAGTACTTTTAAGGTTATTTAGAATGGGACCATTTTCCTGATTTCTTTCTCAGCAGGCTCACTCCAATAAATATAGCAAAGTGGTTTATTTATGTGTGCATGATGTATTCAGCTTCAGTGATAAAGATGTTTATCAGATCATGAAGCATTCTTTTTTAACATGAAAATTTGTAGTTTTTATTTTCTGTTAAAGACAATTTTATGAAAATTATTTGTGTCTTTTCACATGGGGAATTGCTTTAAGAAGCTATAAAATAGTCAATGTGTGAAAAACATATGAAAATAGCTGCCTACATGTCGCGACCCCTTGCCCGCAAGGAAGACGCAACTCAGGAATCTTCTTTTAGCAGTTTATTCAGGCCCTTGATATTTCTTCTTCTCACTCTCGGATGCCCCTCCCAGCCTTAATAAAGCATCTCAAGCCCCAATGCGAAGCTGCCACGTGGAGCTTTCTCATAGGGTGGTGAAAAACCATGCGCCAACTCTCCCAAATAAGGAGTTGTTTGTCACAGACCACAGCGGAGCCAGCGCCATCTTGTAATGGCGACCATAGTCTGCAGAAACGGCAGAAGCGGCTCACCACAGTTCCCCCTTTCTGTTTTCTTAAAACAATACAGGAAAGAGTAGAGGTCCTATTCCACTGTGCAGAAGTGGCTGCATAGTATGGCTCAGTCCTAAGGAGGGCCCTTCCCCAGATCTGAGGCCATATCAGCCGACGCCTTTTTTCATGGAGCGGGGCGTGGACGCGTCTAACCCGCATGCAATAGGACATGCTCTCCTTGAGGTCCACGTCAAGGATCACTCAAGTGCAGTGCCTTGCCTCGCATCCTGTATCGTGACGATGGTGGACGAAGGGGGATAGCTGAGGCTGAACTGTGGCTGTTTATAATGACAAACAAGTTGACAGCACCCTGAAAGAAAGGCACGGACTTTAAGGCGATAGAAAAGCACTAGTGTGGAAACCCATCTGCGTGCAATGGCAGTAAGACCGGCAGAGTGCAAGGGCTTTCCAACACTAAGAGAATAACAAGGAAAGTCATGTCGATCCCAGTGCAATGTTATAATAACTTGGGGTGTAACGACCATGTCAAAGGTTTACTGTTTAAGATGCGCAAGCCAGACCTGAGGTGAGTTGCCATTTTCTAAAGCTGCAAGAGCTTGTATGATCATAGCCTTATTGTGAGCACTGCGGGCCTTAAGGCGACAGAGAAACCACAAACAGAGGAACATACCGAAGCAACGCATTGCACCAAAAATGCCTACCCCCACCCACTCTTTGAAGAAGGAAAAAGCAGAAGATATCCAATCGGTGAATTGACCCAAAGTCACGGGATCGACACGGGTACTGTTCAAGACAGCTATCTGGGTTAGTTGAGACTGGATCATGTCTTCCGCTGCCATGGACCAATTTCCGGCCAAATATTCGCCAATGATGCGGGAGGCATTCCTGGAATCATTAAATCTGACAGAGGTTATGCATAAATGTGCACGTTGGTCAACACAACCCAAAAGCACCAAGTCAGCCAATTCTTCTACCTGAGCTTGGAGTAAATCTATTCTTTGGTTGGCAGCTAAAATCCCTGACAATATATGTTGATTAATTGTATTTTGGGATTCAAGTATGGTGGAAGTTTGTTGAACAACTTGATTAATGGTGGCAGCAGTTTGTACTTGACTGGCCATGGCCACTCCGGCCGTAACCGCTGCAGCAGCAGACACTGCCACAGCTGTCACTATAGCTGCCGTAATTCCAAAATCCCTGCGGACTCTAAGTAGCTCAACAATGGGGAATTTATCTGGGTCCGCAGTGACTGGGATTGGGACAAAAGTTGGAATTTTCATAACCACTGCTACACTCCAAGAACCATTCCAACACTCAGATAAGAGACAGGTAACATTAGAACAATCCAGCATCCCCAACGAGGTGTCATTATCCAAAAGGAGCAAGAACGGGGATTGGACACAGACCATTGCAGGGGGCAATGTGGCATTATATAGCAGAGAGTTGAACGAAACAGATGTAAGTCTATTACCTCGTTCACTCTCCCTAACAGTGCCAGAAACATTAGCCAGCCAGCTTTTGGCTCCCAGCAATTGAGCTAATGCAGAAATATCGGCTGAAGCCCCCTTCTCATTGGAAATCAGCCATTGAAACCAGGACGAACCTACTCCTGTAGAGGAGTTGGCACTGTTGTTAAAGTTATAAACATGCCTCTTAAGAGAGGGGGAAAGGGAGAAACCTTTAGCAACTTGATGTTTCTCCCAAGAATGATCCTGACAAGGCGTAAATGTTGGGGGGAAACCAAGATTAGGGGTACAGTAAGGGGAGGCCTTGAAATGAGTGGCATTGTAAGTACTATTAGAAGAAGGAGGCACTGGGATTAGTACCTTGGAGATAATAGCCAAGGTAGTTATGTTAAAAGCAGAGCTATTTGCGGGGGTCCCTGAGCCTGATTGCTTCCCCGAAACTACTTGGCTCAGTACGGCACTGATAATGCTCCCTGAGACCTGACTGGACCGCAATGGGTCCTCCCAGTTAGTCAAATTTTTGGTCTTAAGGCTGATGCAATTAGCGTTTCCAAGGCTGAAACAAAAAACTCCTGTGAGATTAACTTGAGATTGATTAAAAATGCTCTCCATGTCCCCTCTAGGAGAGGCACAGGGAGCAGACATCTCACATGAGGTAGAGAAAAGAGTGGGGAGGACACTAGAATTACTATGAACCGGCATCGGCATTGGCCAAGCCCGTGCCACTGCCCACCACTGCATTGGTGTCGTCTGTGCCATCGGCACCAGCACCAGAACCAGA